TATTCAATCAATAAATAACACGATGCAGGACAGAAAGATTATTCTCCATCCTTGCTTGAACCTTAGTTTGAAGCAGGGGAACGAAATGAAACAACAATAACAACAACAAAACCAGCAAGACCACTCCAACCAACAGGGCAAGCCACTGGAATATAAATTGAGAGCAAACCCCACACCATAGCAGCACTGATGAGGCCCCCTTGTTAGGTGGTGAAATGCCTTGTCTGAAAACAACCAAGCTCAGAGAACAGCTCGTTTCAACTCTGAGCTGCAAATATTCTCCTTTATCTGAGTAATAACACTTCAGCAAAACCCCAGAGGGAGAAGACATGTCCACTTAAGCACTTTTCTCTTCTGCAACCACCCCAAATCATTACTGCCACTTTATATTAAACCCCCCAGGACCAGTTTTCTGCGAATGGAGCTTTTTAAGCCCGGAGCTTGGAAATGTGTGGAAATGACTCTAAGCAAGTCCCAGACGCCCTTGCTTGGAAGAGATTTTAGGAGAATTGCCAAAAGGTGTGCCTGTTGCTTCTCCCTGATCCTGGGAAGAGAAGCAGACAACATACACAACCAGGAAGACGAGATTTACACACATCTAGGACAAATCACTAATTTATAGTACTTTAACCTAAAGGCGAATTTTTTGTTTGGCACCCAACCTTCTTCTATTTTGAATTATTGGGGAGGAAGTGGCTCCTGTGATCAAAATTCAGATGCTTGGCAATTGGTTCATACTTATGATCCCTTATTGACAAGCAAAGTAAAAAGAGAAGACAGACTCACTTTGCAACCGGGTTACAACCGTAATAACTGCAGTGATTCACTTAACAACGGTGGCAAGAAAGGTCGTAAAATGGAGCCCATGTACAAAATGTCTCACTTAGCAACAGAAACTTTGAGTTCAATCGTGGTAACTCTATACAGCCATTTCACTTCTTTCACTAAATATTCACTCCATGCCTTGCCTTCATACAGCATCTGCACATATTAATGTTTCTCCAAACTCTTTCCCTTTACTCTCTTTCTTCCCGAGCCTCTGAATGCACTAGACTTCAATTCCCATACTCCCCAGCCAGCTTAGGGTCTTTCAAAGACCTGGAGGGCACCGAGTTGCAGAAGGTTGCTCTACAGAGTAGAAACGCTGGAATAATTACAGTTGAATCATCGTTTAAACGAGCTTGATCATAACACCAAAGCGGTTTTTAAATCATTCTCAGAAGCTGCTATTAATGGCCACATGAGGTCATGTTGGACACCCTGCTGAACCCAGCATGGCTTGCTTCCAACGCACCCGAGAGGACCAACTCTGCATTTAAAAAAAAAAAATCTAATGCTTCTCAGAAGAGAGAGGTTGGGGTGGCTGTGTGGTTAAAGTCACTGACTGGAAAGCTGGCGGCCCAAGTCTGAGCCCCACAGGATGGGGTGAGCTCCCGTTCCTTGCTCGAGCTCCTCCCCACCTAGGAGTTCAAAAGCATGCAAAGGCGAGTAGATAAATAGGTACCACTTCGGTGGGAAGTTCAACTCATCCATGTGCCTCGGGGTTGAGTCATGCTGGCCACACGACCCTGGGAATGTTAGACAACGATGGCTCCCTTGGCTAGGAAACAGCGATGAGCATTGGCCCCTGGGTTTGGACACCACTAACAGCAATAGCTCTTAGACTTATATCCCGCTTTAAGGTGCTTTTACAGCCTTCTCTAAGCAGTTTACAAAGTCAGCCTATTGCCCCCAACTGTCTGGGGCCTCATTTAACCAACTTGGGAAGGACGGAAGGCTGAATCAACCTTGAACCACTAAAAAAGGAGAAATCTTTGCCTTTAATGCTTCTACGAACCAAATGTTAGAAATTATCTAATATAACAGAATAAAAGGGTTAGAAGGGACCCTGGAGGTCTTCTAGTCCAACCCGCTACTCAGGCAGGAAACCCTAAACCATTTTAAGCAAATGGTTGGCCAATCTCTTCTTAAAAACTTCCAGTGTTGGAGCAGCCACAACTTCTGGAGGCGAGTTGTTCCACTGGTTGATTGTTCTAACTATCAGGAAATTTCTCCTTAGTTCCAGGTTGCCTCTCTCCTTGCTGAGTTTGCACCCGTTGCTTCTTGTCCTGCCTTCGGGTGCTTTGGCGAATAGCTTGACTCCCTCTTCTTTGGGGCAGCCCCTTTGATACTGGAACGCTGCTATCATGTCACCCCTTGCATCAAAGCTTCAACCAGCAGCGACAGGGGATGAAGTACTGTGCCACTGTTCTCCGGCACCACAAAGGCTGAGCCTCATCCAACCTTTCTCAATGCATTTTCCAGATGGGTGGACATCAACACTCAGCATTCTCATCAACAGCTGCGGTGGGTGGAGACGTTTGGCTGGAGGGCATGTGTGTTAGGGAGGCCTTGCCATCTAGTAGTAGACCTAAAGGTGCTTTTTTTCCCCCCAAGAGGCCACTGGACTTTCTGGTTTTGCTTTGAAGACATCTCGCTTCTCATCCAAGAAGCTTCTTCTGCTCTGACTGGATGGATAAATGCTTCCATTCCCTTTCCATTCCTCATCTAAGAAGCTGAAGTAGCTTCTTGGATGAGAAGCGAAATGTCTTCAAAGAAAAACAAGAAGGGAAGGGAAGGAAAATATCTATGGAGATTCTCAGTCATCCAGGTCCTGGTTGTCCCAAAGGTGCTTTTTCCAAGAGGCAACTGGACTTTCTGGTTTTGCTTTGAAGACATTTCGCTTCTCATCCAAGAAGCTTCTTCCGCTCTGACTGGATGAGAAGCGAAATGTCTTCAAAGAAAAACCAAGAAAGTCCAGTTGCCTCTTGGAAAAAAAGCACCTTTGGGACAACCATGACCAGGAGGACTGAGAATCTCTATAGACATCAAGTAGTAGACAGGAAGCTGCTATTAAAGCTAGTCAGATTGAGGAATATCTAGACAGTTGTAAGAACTGGGTGAGAGTTCGGATGACTGATGACTTTCCCGCTTGCACTAAATCCAGGCCAGAACTGGAGGCAGATGCTGCAGCGGTTGGGCAAAAACTTAAACCTGACAACTGTGGCCCAATGGAAACAAGACCAGCACGGTGCTTTGTGACGCCACTTGACGCAGTTGGAATAGAAGCTGGGAGGGACCTTGGGGAGGTCTTTGAGTCCAGGGGTCTCCAACCTTGACCAACTCTAAGACTTGTGGGACTTCAACTCCCAGAATTCCTCAGCCAGCTGGCTGAGGAATTCTGGGAGTTG